CACACACACACACACACACACACACACACACACACACACAGGAAATACACTCACACTACCTGCCGTGCATTTACAGGAAGACGCGCACAGACACACACACATAAGTGAGAGTGCTGGCATACAAGAAGCAAAATTGAGAGATACAAGTATGCATACAGGCACACGGACAGACACACACACACACACACACACACACACACACACACACACACACACACATTCCACAGCTTTACAAAAAGGCCTGAAATTAAAACCCGAGTCACATAGTGTAGTTAATAAGGGTGGTTGAAAATGGCTTTCACCCATGTGTGCTGCTTTTCATACCTTACCGGATTACTTTGAATTTCTAAAAGGAGAATTCATGTCAAATGAAGACGCCAGCCCACAGAATCTGAAAGCTAAAAAGACAGAGGCTCATGCAAGAGATACTCCAGGACCGGGGGACACAAAATTAAATATGGATAAAAATGGATAAAATTGAAGGCAAACATGTGTAGGAGAAATTCCAAGATTTAGTATAATGTGGTTTTGGTCTACCTGTGGTTTATGAACCACAGATGAAATTCTCTTCCTCCATCTGCTGGTGGACTGAGTGCTTTACAATGCAGTCATGGTGCTGCTGTGTGAAAATACTCTAATACCAGAATGAATCCTTCTTAATTACTCATGAATGACCAGAGTGGCTGCTTTCAAATGGCATGGGAAAATGTTTCTGTCTGAAATGTGATATTATAGAAGTACAGTACTGTGCAAAATTCTTGAGCCACACTTCAGTTTTCTTTATATTTTGCTAGGAAAATAGGAAATAGGTACGACAGTTTGTAGAAACCACCGTTTGTACAATTCTAATGAGCTTTAACGCCAGTATTTGGCATGACCACCTTTATTCTTCAACGCAACCTGAACTCTCTTTTAATTTAAGGAATAGTACTCCAAGGCTTCTTGAGGATATTCACAGATCTTCTTTGGATGTTGCTTGTCTTTTCTCTATTAAGATGATCCCACACTGCTTAAATAATGATGAGGTCTTGGCTCTGGGGAGGCCAATCCTTGAGTTCGGCTGTATGCTTTTACTGCATTGGCAGTGTGTTTGGGATCACTGAAAAATGAATGGTGTTTCATGGTGGATCCGCATCTGACGGAACCAAAAATTCCGCCTTTGGATTCATCACTCAATAAGTCCTGTTACCACAGATTTTTGATCCAATTCTTGTGGAATTTGGTTTTATTCCTTAATAATGTCTTCTTGAAAGCCATCCTTCCACGGAGGCCATTTCTGATAAAGCTTCATTGAACAGTAGATGGATCAACTGAAGGGTCAGATGCATCTCTCAGATCCTCTGTCAGGTATGTCTCACAGAGGATCTGAATTTTTTAGCATTTCTTAAGCACATGTCTTCCAGATACTGTTCATCTGTAGACAGTATATTAGGCTGACCACCTATTTTGATTAGCCCTGCCACAGACTGGCGACCTGTCTAGAGTGTACCCCGCCTCCCGCCCTAAGACAACTGGGATAGGCTCCAGCCGCCCTCCGACAGTGACAAAGATAAGCAGAAGAGAATAGATGGATGGGGACTTTGTCCAGTTTCCTCAAAATTGTTTAGGATACACTGCACTCCATCCTGAGATGTGTCATGTTTTCAGCTAATAGCTCTTCTCTCACCTTGTGGGTGCAGATATACTATTTTATGTCTGTCAAACATATCTTTGACATTTTTCATAGATTCAAACAAATGTCTATATTTTTGCAACAGGCTTCCAGTGACAAAGTGCCTATAGATATTATTTAAAATTGGTTATATGCTAAATTGTCTGGTTCGTCCCTTGAGTTAAATTCCATTTTTATGCTTGAATGATTCATAGGTCAGTGTTCAGAGACAGGCAATGTCCAAGGGAAAGCTCTGAAATACTTTCAGAAAGCCTGGAGAACTATTGGTCGAGACCACTTTAAAAAGTCTGGCTCCTTGGAAATAAAATATATAAAAAATGAGCAGTTGCTTGAGACTTTTGCACAGTACTGTATAACAGGCTATCATATGGAAGGAACCCAAGTGGATTACAAGTACCTTGCTCAGTAGAAAGTAAGGTAGGGAATGACCTGTTCATCTCCCAATGATGTTTCCCACTCACCTGCACCATCTTTCTACACGTTCACCAGGTCTCAGTCTAATTAGCCACACGCCAATCTGAAACCTGAATATGTGAATATTTAACCTGATATTTCATCAGCCGTCAACTGTCAAATCTGAGAAGCATAGTGAATAATTTATCAAAGCAGAAATCATACAGACGGACAAAGATCAAATAGCAGCTAATTTATTCATTGATAGTGACCTTATGTTTGAAAATAAACTTATTTTGTGTTGTTTACTCGTGGGGAATAGTGGAATTACAATATGATGATGATGTTGGGGCAAAGCCGACTCCAACACTCAGAGAATCACCTGATCATGCTTTACAGAAACCTGCTTGTGAGCTATTCAGACACATCAAATATTGAAAGCCTGGAGTTTCCGTTTCACACACAGTGAGGGAGGGATGAGAGCAGTGAGAGAGCAGGCAGACAGAGCGGTGGAAGAGAGGGAAAAGCTAAAACAAATAAATAAATAAAATAGACCAAGTGGGATTAAGAAGAAAAACCCAGCAGTCACCCTGGGAGGGTCACACGTGAGGTGGGATGGAGGGAGAGAATGAGGAAAAGGGCCAGAGCATCGAAAGGTAAGGCGAGGGGAGAATGAATGTTTACGACTAATCAGGTCGCCCTGACTGTAACAATAGAGGCTGATCCCTTGTAAGGCAGCTGGTGACTGATTGGCTGATAACCTTGTAGTCAGGCGGTTAGGAGGGCATGTTTTTTAATTCTTCTGTCTCTCTTTCAAACTTCAGTGGGATAACTTTTACTCAGGCCGAAACAGTGACTCAGAGTTGTGGCAAGGACAGCGATGAGTCACAAAGCCTCCAGGAACCAGATGAGGAAGACCAGACTGACGGAGGACACTATGATGGAGATGGAGAGCCAAGCCAGGTCAGATGAGACAAAACCACATAAATGAAATATAATATAAACAAAACCTCTATCGATCACAGTCAGTGCAACTCATATGAAACAGTAAATGAGCATTTAGCGAGTCATTTTGTTTGTGTGCTTGATAAAGGGTGCAGACGATCAGTGCAGCGGTGCAGAAGTGTTACCAGACAGCACCCTGGTAGCCACAGACACCCAGGACGATACTGGGTGCCTCCCATCGTCCTCCCTGCAGACAGAAGAAGAGTTGTCCCCCATTTCTGTGTTATCTCATCCCTCTAACACACAGAGTAGGTCACACTCACAGCTGACAGATGCATGGGGCCAGCAGGGTGCATTTATTGAAAGCACTTGCTTGTGTGAGACTATTTAAATGTAAATGGGTTAGAGCCAATGCTGCTTAAGTGCTTTTCTTTGCCATTTGTGTTTTTATAGATCACCCACCTGAACCCTGCTGGTACTGCTTGAGGTCTCTTGACTCGGAGTATCGCCCTGAAACTACAAAACAGGTTTTTAAATTCATGACAAAATATATTTTCCATTAGAGGGAGTGTTGAGAAAATGCTTCATGCATTCCCCATTCATTTAGTTTTCTCTAATGTAACACACACATATAAAATAATAGAGGATTTGTTATTGCTGTGCATTTTTTTGTGTAATTTTTAAAGACTCGAATTAAATTTAAGCCTGAAGTCACTGTGCACAGCTCTTTTCTCTACTGTAATACAGACCTCTGCTTTTCTTGAACAGCAGGACGACTCTGATTCGTCACCGCTGCCCTCTAGTGGTCAAAAAGTGAGCTACCAAACAGACCCTCGGCCACACTTTGGTGTAGCTTGGTCGTCCCACTCGCCGTGTCACCCACTGTGGGGAAGCGAGGGGCCCTGCAGGGGACAGAGAAATCAGGAAGTGCACTATCAGACACACACCTGTCCACACTGCCATCTGGACTTGCCCCCTGACACACTACGCTGGCATGAGGTTTGGCTAAGCTAAGCCCACGTAGACATAAATAGATCATCACTAAAGATACCGCAGTTTATGTCACTCTGCTTTCTTTCTGTCTGCACAGGCAAAGTGTCTGCTGTTTGAAGATCTGAGGAAGTCAAACAAATAGATGAAGAAAACGTTTCTTTTTTGTTATTAAAAATAGTGTCTGCTGTCTAAATTAGAATATTCTCAGGAAGCCTTTAGCGTGTTAGTGTTGTGCAGTATCTGCTTGTGCTATTAAATATCTATCTATTTATTACACTTAAGCTTTGTCATCACTATTCCTCACTTATTATTATATTATTATTTTTACTCAATGTTGAACTTCTGTGACTTTAACTGAGCAAGGTGAAGTCATCCTCTTCCTTTTCCTGGTCTACATCCCTATGTTAAAAATGACCATGTGCACGTTAGCATATGCTACTTCCGGTGCGGAAACTCCTGTGGGGAGCTTTGTTTCCGGTGTCCTATTCACGCCCTGTTTACGGTCCAAAACAAGTTAAGCAAATGAATGAATCAAGCGGCGATTTACATTTCTATAGATGTCTTGGGCATTTACCCAATATATCTGTAAATGATGTTCATCGACTTGTCGATATTTTTTCCCTGTGCCTCAGAACAAAAGAGAAAAGGGATTCAAATGTTATATTTCTCAGCTGTCCCTCGTTTATCGCGGGTGTTATGTTGTAAAAATAACCAGCGATAGGTGAAATCAAGTAGCCAATTGTATTTTTTGATGGTGCAAAACGTTTGGTGGACATCGTGGACATACAGTACTGCACTTCAGAGTCACACTGCTAGCAATCGTCACGGAGGAGATTGTCTGCAGTGGCAGGACACAATGTGACGTAAAAAAACGTGCAAACTTGCACTAAAAAAAATCTGTGAAACAGCGAGGTGAAAGGTGAACCACGTTATTAGCGAGGGACCACTGTAATTTTGAAGGTAAGTCACAGCATACCCTTCGTAAATACTAATGTATAGAAACTCTTACCATTCATTTTTTGTGTGGCTTTTTTCAAGGTTTGTTAACATGCTGTGTAGGTGTGTACTTGACTAGCTGATATCGACATAATGGGAAAGATCTGGTTTGACTATTCTTCACCTGTAGTTTCAATGCTGAACATTTGCCTGTTTAAATCATAAGACCAGTCACTATACAAAGATGTGCTTCTGAATGTGGACCATGTGTCTTCTGCTGCAGTAATGTGGTTCTGCTTGTGTTGAGCGATGTAAACAACTGATTGATCTAAACTCTTTAAACGTCAAAATTGATCATTAGATTTTTTATGACACAACAGTGGTGAGTGTTCCCACCTTCTGCTCTTTGTAACTTAACGCGATCTTTCCGTTTTCGAGTTTTGGACATGATTTTGGAGTATATCTTCGCAGTAGCGATTGACCGCAAAGTAAAGTTACCGGAAATGTACAACCCCACGTCCGGTCTCAAACCAGGAAGTTAGCTTTTTCTCGTGCACAGGGTCAATTAAGATTTTTTAGATCTTTTAATTGTATTTTTTCAATAAATAATGTTAGAAATGGACTAAATGGCGCAAATATGCACTCACATTCTTATTTTATTTTAAGAAATTTTTTTTAACTTAAGATCTTTAGGCAGGACATTCATATTGGATATTCATCAGGGGCATTATCATATACATGTCTTGTCTGTTGGATACACTGACAATAAATTCACCATTAGCACTGGACAGGTTTATACGTGACTTAATGAGTTAATAAGTGTTTATAAGTAGGGTATATCTCAGTATGTTCTGTCTTTCCACTTCTCTATTTTTTAAATTTCATCTTTACTACAAATCCCCTTTTGTTTATTTCCCCTAATTCCTTTTTTTCTTTGATTTATCACACTCATTTGAGGTTTTTGACCTCATGCAGTCCAATCTGATGTCAAGGGAGGCTAAAAAGTAAAACTGATCAATAACAACCCATAAAAAAGTTTCAAAAACAGCTCAAAATCCCCCCTATTGTGAAAAAATAACATAGTTTCCGTTTTTCCACATTCAGTTTATCTGCTGTCATGTAAATGTTAAATCATAAGAAAAAACTGCACTGGCTCAGCTCTTCAACTTCCATCTTAGCTTTACTCCCTTGTCTTTGTGAACTGCTGTCACAGTGTGACCTATTGGCTTGTTTTTTGGTGCAAAGTCCATCTTTTATGCAATTTTATCTTAGTTTACTTTACAAACCAAGACATTAAAGAGAAGCTCTCTGTGTCAGTCAGCCTGTGACATGGTCTGGTGTGAAATTCAGGCAGATAAGGGAGTACCCGAAGAAAACCCAAGCAAACAGACTCAAACAGACTCAAGGAGGGGCAGCCATCTGACTGGTTGGTGGGTGAGGAGAGAAAACACAGACTTAGAAAGAGAGGATATAAAGTTTAATGGCATGCTGCAGTGGTATATACATGTGGGGAGTGAAAAGAGGCCATATACTAATGTTAAAATGAAAATGAGTCAATTACTATTCATTATAACGTGATTAGTTACAATTTATAAACCCTTCATAAAAGCAGCCTGTTTTAAAGGGAGTGAATGGAATGTCTTGAACAGAAAACTGAGCTGGTTCCTTGTGATGTCACAATATTCTGTGCCAAATTCCTCTAGAATCTCATTGGCTGTTGGACTCCTTGTGGCTGTAGGTAGTCTCCCTGTCATTCCTTACATATTGATGTAACATTTTTCAATGTTTTCTTTAAACTACAGTGGGATTAGCCTGTGTCCCACACATCTACTTTCACTGAAGTCCACTGTGAGAGTACAAGCTGCAGAAACCTTGTGATCCAAATATTAAAACATGGAAAACCTAGAGGAGAGCATTGGGGAAGAAGAGAATTATGGCATTGATCAGGAATACAGTGATCCAGAGACAGGAGAATATTTCAGTGATGACAGCTGTGACTGCATCTTAGACAGGAAAATCACGTGGCTGTCACTTCCTCGTCTGTGCTTGGAGCGTGTATTCAGTTTTCTGCCAGACCGGGATCGCAAAACAGCAGCTCTTGTTTGTCGTCAGTGGCACAACGTCATGCGCTCACCTTCTCTCTGGCGCCACCGCCGTTTTCACTTCAGTGGTCGGATTTCCAAATTCAGGAAGCCAGATTACTCCTCTACCATTGCCTATGTGAGCCACCTGGGCGCCTACTTGGAGAGGTTGGAGGTGACTGTGTGTCCTCCAAGGAAAACCCAGGCAGCCCTGAGACTGAAGGGAGCGATCACTCAACTGTTTTCTGAGCTCATCAGGTAAAAGAGGCCTGTCTGAACCAACTCGTGGTTTTACACAAATTAGGGCCCCACTCTGTTACCCTGTGCAATATAAGTAAAAACTCACACTGCAACCTTATTATCATTGCGACCTCCACAGGGTGAGGGCCCCACTGCGCTCGCTAGCCGTCATGAACCTGGAGTTGGACAGAAGCGCTTGGACTTCAAGCCTCAGAGCCTCAGTGGTGGGCTGCCTGATTTCATTCCTCCAGAGAGGCAGCTCAAAACTCAACTCCATTTGTCTGAGCGGGATGCGAAACTGCATCCATCAGGTGACTACAGCACACATCCTAAGATAATGTTTCAGCAGCTATATGTCACCACCCAACTTCCAGCTCTTCACTACAGTGCTAGAGTTATTTAAAACACAGAACAGATCTCATCAGCTGAGAACTGGAGCCGAAGTATTGTGTGTGTCAATTAATCAGTCTTCATATTGAATAGTAACTTACATTTTGGTGAAAAGTTACTAAAAGATGTTCAAATTCAGCGACATAAGACTACATTACTGAACTGAATTGAAGCTAAGTAGTTTAATATTCTAATTTAAATCAAATATCTTCTTTGTGATGCTTGATTCTTCCCTTAATGTTTTATAATAAATGCCACAATTTTAGTTACCAGTTTGCAGGTCTCCATATGAAGCTGCAGTAAGTTTGTGTTTAAAGCCTCTCCTGCCAGACAACCACAAGCTAGAAATGTTGACTTTTGGGTTCACATCAATCACAAACTCCTAAATATCAAGCCCAGTGGAGCTGTAACACTCCTTATTACTTCATAAATGGATTTCTGATAGTTTAAAGTCTAAGACCTCTCACTGGGCAATGTTTGCTTTCTAGGCTAGATTGATTATCATACTGATTGTGGTCTTCTTAATCTTTATATGGTTTCTGAACCTTTAACTTCAAGGGTTTGGAGCTGCTTTCTGCCTTGTTACATTATGAGACGCGCTTCTACCCCCGGTGCTATATTTCCTCTTTGGATTTGGAAGCATTCTTTTCTGGTTCGGTGAACGTCTACCTCAACTCCAGCGTGCCCGACAACCTGAGCCAGTTGCAGTGTCTCACCGATCTGAGGCTGAGTTACTCCTGTTTGTCAGATGAGCTTCTAATGGCACTCCAGCAAAGACACGGAGGAGGGAGGCGAAAGTCCAGCAGAGATGGCAATACCCTGCAAACATTTTTACTGCACTGCTGTCTTAAAGAACCACATCAACAGGTAAGCATGAAACGAACCTTTCAAGCGGCCTTATTTTATTATTGTGTGGGGATGTGGGAATGATGTAGCTGTGATCCCCAACAAAAACTGGATTCACTGCTTCTGTGGTTGGACACAATGTAATGGCAGATGTATAGATCCTGGGTAGGAAGACAGGGTTTAAAATACCCCCACAGGTCTAATTTCCATCTCCGCTTCTTTTTGTCTGTCAAGCTGATTTGTGGCAGCTCATGGGCAACTTTGGCATCAAGCTGCCCAGACCTCAAAGTCAAGATTTCAGTGAACCAAGTTGTTAACAATGATCGCCTCGCCAGGATGCTGCTGCCCGAGATTCCCCTGAGTGAATACTGCATGTCTGCTTTCTACTCGCCCAACGAAGACTGGAGTCCCAAGCCTCTCCTCAGCGACATACTGCCTCAGTACAGACACACCCTTCAGGTCAGGGTGCTGAGCAGGCAGCATTACAGAGTTCAGAGTGTAGATATGATATGTTAAAATGAATGCCTGCTCATTACAATCAGCACATTACTGTATGCTATATATATTACATCAGCTCATTTGAATTTGATCTGCAGAGGCTCTGAAGTTGAAATTAACAGACGTTCTCTCAATTTATGTCCACAAGCTT